GGGTACAAGTATAACCTCATAAAGAACAAGTATAACCCTCATCCAAAAGTGACCATAAAGCAATCATGAATTGAAAATGGCTCAGGAGAGGCCAAAAACACCAACTTGCCAGTTTTAGTAGCTTGTATTTCGATGGCCATTGACTGTAACACCATTTCGAGAGTTGGTGAAGCCATTTTTCTGATTCTCCAATTTGTGGAACTCAGTTTCTATGGTTTTGGCTATTTTGGCATCATCCGGGTCTGGCTCTGGAATGTCCACATAGAAGGACCCTTGTCTAATTGGAGGTGAGATTGACTCCCTAATGATAGCTTGATGCTTGATGTGATTGTAGAGTTGTTGGTGGAAAACATGATTGAAGGAGAAACAATTTTCAATGTTTCCTGATGCATTATGTTTGGATGACTTGGAATCTTCTTTTCTGCAGAAATGTGGGAGGGATGCATAGTCCATTACCTACAAGTTTCAAAACACAGGATAGATTTCATTTGGTCATGTTCCTTTTCAACTCTCACCATGAAATTCAAACAGCAACATGACAGAGGGAACATTCTTAACGACAACAATAATTACAAGGATGGAGCAATATCAAATATTTGATATACCACCTTCAGTAATTCCTCCTTCCCGCTACCTTGAAGCACCTGGATTTTCCTCCTTGTTCTTTCTTGCAAAAGAGGCTTTACAACCTTATAAACATCATTGAAGAAAACAAGTAAGAAAGTGAAGCATTCCAAACTCTTCAAACATTAAGACATTGACAAACCTTCCAACATGCAGAGAATACATATGGTGCATTAACAATATAGTATGTGTCTGTCTTTTCCGGGTAGTTCAAGTCATCTATTGTGGATATAGCAGTCAACAACTGCAGAAAGTGATTGAACAGAAACTGTCAACTATGAACTGAAAAAGGGGATGAAACGTTTTTTTTTTCCAAATTATTTGCATTACCCTCAATTGGTTCAATGCTGAAAACTTTAAACCAGTCATATCCAAGACTTTCACACAGGTGCCAAGGTACCGTTCATGCTTCCTTGAAGCTGTTGGCTAAATTAAAATTTTCAAATCAGCAAGCACAATCTCAGAATTTCTAAGATTAACTAAACACTTCAAGATACTCACCAAGATCACTCGATCCCTGTATTCATTGATTTGAATGTGTGATTGTATATAGTATTTGTCCTGAAAAAAAGAATTGGCAATTTAATATCAAATAGATAATCCAAAGGAGTTTAGATGCCAAATTTAGTATTTTCTAGTTTGGTTAAAGTATTTTCATTACCACCAAATGCAAAAAATTGTTTAAATATTAAAAAATTGTTAATGATTAAAAAACATCAATATTGATGATCTCTTTCCAATGATTTGGTTGATTTTATTTTTACGAAAAAAATTTGTTAAGATTTTTCAACTGTTTTTTTTTTTTTTAAATTAGATCCATCCAGATTATTTTCGGTTGATGTTGACCAAAATTATTTACATTAATATCGATCGATGTTGTTTTTTGGACGTTGTTGGTTGATGTTTTTTTTTTCCAAATTTTTGGTCAATGTCGGCTGAAAATTTCCCATAACTGACATTGACAAAAAAAGAAATCCCAGTTAATGTTGGCCGAAAACTTTCCAATTTAAAATTTGAAAAAGAAAAAAATCCTAATTGACTCAACTGAGAACTAAAATTGCCTACAATTTTTTTTTAAAAAGGTTCTAACAATGCAAATGAAAAAACAACTTCTATTAACATTAAAAAAAAACTAATTAACATTAATGGAAAAAAATAGTACTCTCAACAATGTCTAAATTTTACTCAAGCCGCCAATGTCCCGACCAAAATCAGGTAAAGGAGAAAATATGACGAAAAGACACATGAATTTAACAGTAGAAAGAATTTCAAATTCTTATTTTTTTTTTTATGGAATTTGAAATTCTCTACTTTGAGTAATCATAAAATTCTAGAATTTCAATTTTATTGAAATTTCTTACTCAATCAATATATTTCGTTATAAGGCATTTCAAATTTTTTATAAGAATAAGGCTCTTAAAATTCTGTCCAAACACGGTTAATGTGAAGAAAGATGGAGTATGATTCTTACAGAAGCTTTATCATATGTACTGAGCCCAACACCAACACCAATGACCGGTAGACCCTGAAAAAATTCAACCAAAAAGGAAGAAATTAGAAATAGCTTTTCATATTGTTTTGAAAGATGACTATTTCGATTTCTTATAAATTAATAATAATAAGATCAACAATACTTAAAACATATCGTTCATGAATATAAAAGTTATTACAGTTATTCAAAGTATAATTGCAATAGTTACCAAACTCTTACACTTCTAAGAAAGTATGGATAATTATTTTTAACTAAAACTTATGGGTGATTGAATTTTTCCATCATTACACTGTTGCATCTACCTCGTTTTGTACTGGATCAGTTGTAACAAACTTATCTGTTTCCACAATTAAGGTAATCATTGCAGACGAACAAACATATAGACAAAAGAACATACACAAAGGCAAAGGTGAGCTAAGGCGCAAAAAATTATTCATAAATCAGGCATAAGGAGGATATTACTACACATAATCAATTTGTAATAACAATCATATCATTATATAATAATCATATTAGACTCGATCATCTAGATGAAACATTAATGTGAAATCTCGGAGGGTTGTACAATTGTGGTGACCCCGCTCCTCTTACTAAGCCAATGCCAATGCACTACACTCTATCACCCACAAGATTAGTCTGCTAACGTTTATGATTACCTTAATGGTGCGAACAAATGAGGTTGTTACAACTGATACAAGACGAAGGAGATGTAGCAGCGTAATGACGAAAAAGTTCAGTAACCCATAAGTTTTAGTTAAATATAAATATATGTACTTTCTTAGAAGTGTAAGACTTTTGTAACTATTGCAGTTATACTTTGAATAATTGTAATAACTTTATATTCATGAACAATATGTTTTAAGTATTGATTATGTGTGAAATTGGGCCGTTACAAGGAAGGGTGAAAATAAACTCAAATTCATATCACAGATCAAAAAGCTCTGATAAGATATAACTAAAAAATTGGTACCTCCTTAGAGTAACCAGACATTCCTATGAGCTGAGAATCCCGTATGGCTCTATACAAATCCGCAGGAATAGGCTTCTGTAACACAGAAAGGACAAATATGACAATGCAACACCATTATGATCTGATTGAAGAAATGTAATAAATATTCATTTAATGATATAAGTTAATGAAAGGATATGATTATGAAAAAGAAAGAATGTTAAATCATCCTGCTGAAGTGACAGTCCTTTGTTAAAGATTAATTACAAAAGATTTAGAAGCTTAATTTGTTCAACTTATGGCTCGTATCAAACTATTCATGACATAAATTGATGCATGCAGAAAGTAGAAAGTATTGAATGAAATATTTTTTCCAAGCTTCCAAAGCATTAGATGCAGTACTTTCCCTTATCTGTTGTCCTTTTCTTGCATAGTTAGCAAGAGCCACTAAATCTACAGCGCACATGTCTTAGGAATGTTCCAAAATATTAGATATCTTCAAATAGAGTTTTACATCTATATTGGTCATTTCAATATTTTCACCCTCCCTATTAGAAAACCTACATCGACTAGACATAAAGGTTAATTTATAGTATATAAGTGAATGAAAATCTTAACTTATAGTTGGTTTTGTATAGTTGAATTAGGTTTAAAATTTAATTATTAACACTTCCCTTCTATTATTAGTCTTACAATTAGCTCAATGACCAAACCCATCATAAATGGTAAATGAAGTTTTTGTCCTATATTTGGACTTTCATAAATCTTAGATGCAAGAGTTTCCAGAAACATGAGATGTAGCAAAGAAGACTTGTCAAAAGATAACCAAAAAACAACAATTCAGGAAATGATAGCCAAATCAAGGAAACTCACCGTTAAAACTTTGTCAATCTCATTTTCCACTCTCCAGTTCAAACAATCACTTAACTGCATCAGTTTAAATTGTCAGCAAAGTCTAATGCTACGAGCAACCAACAAGGTTAAAATTCCAACTAATTTTCTTAACCAAACATAATAATAGATCTTACTAACCATTTTATGAGCTTTGGAAACATTCCAATCCCTTGCTTTGAGAAACCGTATTAATGTTTCAGCTGGATAACCTTGGTGCATGTTCTGAAACAAAAAGGGAAATATTTCAGAAAAAATCACCGACTCTCACAAGTCAGCACAAACCAACCACATAACCAGGATAGTCAAATACGTAAAAAAAGAAATTAAAAGATTCAGCAAACAATAGGCCGAGGATACACTCAATTAGTTACTCTTGGTTGAATAATCTCTAAATCCAGTTTGATTATCTTGAAGACTGTTCCTCAAACATAAAAAGACCAATTTTACTAAAAGTTATCACGTTAATCCTCAGAACACCCTTAACACTAAGGAATAAGCTAGCCCAGTTAAAATTCCAAACAACCGCAAGCTAGCAGTGATCCAGATCATTTTGGAAGCAGAGTTTAATTTTTGTTATAAAAATATATTCATTTTGTTCCTCCTTCCTCATAATCTAGGATGATTTAAAAAAAGGTGTTTGTTTTTTATAATCAAATCAGGTTTCAGATCACAAATCACAGCTTCTATTCATTTTTTTTTCAAGTGCCATTCCCAACCCCCAAGATCAAGCAAATCAAAAACCATACCTGAAATGTGTTCTTCAGCTGCTCATCCACTGCAACAAGAGTCATAGACATAAAAAAAAGGAACCTCTGTGAGTGATGAGAAAAGATCACAGAAGAATGTAATCTGAGTTTCAAGCAATTGATGCACACCATTTTCCATCAGGGACTGCAACTGCTTGAGAGCCTCTTGATTTCCACCACCCATTTTCGTGTTAAGCTCTCAGCACTGCAAAACCAAAATTCAGAAGCCAATCCAAAGTTGCTGCAAGGAAAATCTTGTAACACCAGATCCTTTTAAGACACCCCCTAAGAAGGTATAATTATTGCTACCCCCACAAAAAATTTAAACTGATCTACCAATCGTGGGTAGAAGACAGAAAAAGTGGGTTTGGTTTGGCAGAAGTGAGGGTTGTGATCCCTTTAAAAATTATAGCTTTTTTTGTCTACCTCCTCTTGCCCCTGTGCAGAGCACAAAAGCATGGAACTTGGAGGTGAGTTTGTACTATGTATGTATGTTGCAGCTTCCTATGTAGGAAAGGAAGTGAGTGGTCAACAAAACAAAGAAAAAAGTGACAAAACTGTTAAAATCAAATGACCAGAACCGAAAGATGGGGATTTTTGAAATTGTTGCCCAAATTAAAAATATTTTTCTTTCCGAATAACCTCTCACTCTCACTTTATATTGCAAACTTTTCTGGAATTCAAAAAAAAAAAATACTAAAATAATAATTTGAGGTACACCTCAAATTTTCAAATTTGGGGTTCAAATTGGGGTAAAAGGAAGAATAACGGAAAGAAATTATTAGGTTTTGTGTATCGTAATGTTATATTAAAAAACTAATAATATTTAATTACTTGACCTGTAAATATTAGTGGGGACTATTATAGTTATAAACTGTTTAATAATTTTTCAAGAAACATAGACAAAGAAAAATTATATATATCTAATGAATGAAATGATGAAAAATAATAAAAATTATGAACATCATAATGATGTGTTGAAAATGATAAATAAACGAAGAAGAAAAGAAATAGAAAAAAAACAAAATATAATGCATTTTTTTTTATATAAGTTGGCACTAGAATAATATATTCTCTGATTTCATATACCTTTGTTATACAGAGTCATACCATTCTAATACTATCATAAGTTCGAATATTTAATAATTGTTTGTTCACGCTTGAACAGAATAGTTTCTTAAAATTAAATAAAGTGAATAATAATCCACGTCCGTAATCATTCAAACAAATTATGATTGACATGTTAAAGTTAGGAAAAGTGTGAGAAGCAGCTGTCAGTTAATCATTAACTCATGAATTTGACTATAATTTTTTAAAGGTTAGTAAGTTTTGCTGAGGGACTTTTTTTCTAACGAAATAGGGTTCACTTCATCCATTTATTTTTCATAATATCGTTTTAAGAATATTTAAATGTTTAGTTTTATTTATTATAAAAAATATAATACTTATTTTCTAATCAATCTTCATAAATACTTTTAACATTTAAAAAATAAACAATGGCAATGTAATGATCGGTATTATGTCTGAAATTTGAATTCGCCGCGTTGGCTGCGTTAACAACCAAGCTTTCCACAGTTTCAAGTTTACGACTCCAGGAATTACAATTGCCTAGTATTATATGAAATTATAAACTCCTTGTTTCATATTCGCGTTGCATATTTGTTTCAATATTGATTAACAAGGATTATGCACACAATCACACCAGCTTGAACTTTTCTTCACCTCTTCTCAGTTTTTGGCCTAAGTCCAGCAAAACAGTCTCCGTGAACTCTTATCACAACCAAAATATGAGAATCCTCCTTCTCAATGTACTGTCATTCTTTTCGATAGAACGTTCTCCAAAACTCTTAAAGAACAAAACCGAGATGTATCACTCTCGTCCACGTAGTAAACGTTCTTACTGACTCCTAAACACATTAAACGTTAAATAAAACATCAATAACATTTTAAATTAATTATTGGTTCAGGAACTTAGGATTTTAAAATTACATAACAAAATTCCCCAATTCAAAATTAGTTAAGAGAACAGCTAAAGTAGAGGGCTCTATAAATGAAAGACCAAAGTTATAAAAAATAAATGTAATATGTGTTTTAAAGGTATTGTTATTTGTTAGTAAGTAATCGATTGGAAAAACGTCAAGGCGTGGACATGTGTTCCAACCCAAATCACAACCTAACCTCTTTTTTACTTACTCTCAAACACACCTATCTGATCCTATCATCAAGAATTGTGACCAATTTTCTTTCTTTTTCTTTGTGGCCGACAGTACTTGCCACCTTGTGCTACGTAATGTCACACCTCAAATGCTACATTAATTGTCAGTGATAGTTCACCCATCCAATGGACAGTTTAAACTACAACCATATTTGATCAATGTGTTAGTGAGTACAATGTTTATAGGTCCTAATACGTGTCTGAAAAAATAGATTATTAATCTTTTTCCCTGATATTTATTGTTTTTTTCTCGATTACAATAAGTTCTTGTCGTGCAACACTACCTAAGGTAGCAGATTTAATTCTTTGTTATCCATAAATATAATCATTTATCTTTTTTTTTTACTTTAAACATATTTTCCGTTTTCAAGAATAGTTTTTAATTAACTATCATCATGAGTCAAAAATGATACAATAACTTACCTATTAACACTTATTTTACGTTTTGATCAATATTAGAGTAAATGATGAATAACTTTTAGTCATGATGCATCACCAGATGGGGCCATCCTGTACAATATATAATTGAAATATAATTTATTATAATCGGTTTTCTAAATAAATTTATAGAAAAAATACTTTTTGTATAATTGAAATTTATCATTAGTGAGTGGTTTTAATGTCTTAATTTTTGTATTTAAAGTATGAATACATTTATAAGCCACACAAAGTTATTAACGTATCCACCCACAATTTTTGTTATTTTTTAACTACTACAAAACAATCCATTTATATGGTATTAAATGTAGAAATTTTATGTTTCGTGTTAATCAACATTTTACATAATGTCTTATAACTTTATATTTTTGAATTTTATGGACCTTAGCGTAATAACTCTCCAGTAAGAAACTCACACGTTAAAAAATGTGAAAAGAGTAAACACTAAGCAAATTTTAATTATATTTTTCTACTACGATATTTATAAATTTTATTAATATTAACAATTATACTAATTAATGGAATAGTAAATATGAGTGGGTAGAAAAAAATGTAACTCTTGCCATTATAGTTAGAGGGTTTGATTTGTTTATAGAACCCGAAATTTTAATAGTATGATAAATGGTTAAGAATTTTTTTCTCTTAATTGTGAATCATAATGTACTTACATATTGTAGTATAAAACATAGGTAATAATTAATGCAGAGTTAAGAAGTGGTTTAAGTTTAAATTCTATTTAGAAGAGAAAAAAGGTTATTAGATTATCCATTATTTCGGGTCTTTCTTGTACTAAAAACAAGGATTCAACTACAACCAAAACACGAAATATTTTCCAATATAAAACTTTAGCTTTAAATTTAATAAATCTCAGTAAATAATTGTTCTGCTTTTTTCTTCTTCTAAATTGTTCCGGTCGGGTTTGGTGGGACCCTGCTAAAACACTTCTGATTATATTGAAGATTGGGTGGACGTTAAAGACCAGACAGATAAACGTTGTTCGAGGTTCAGGGCGGAAGGGCAGACGAACGCTACTCCATACACTAGGTTGAAGACAAGGCAGACGTTGCTCACTCTCCCTACTTCTCCAAGCCGGATGGGGGCGTACCTGTTAAAGGTGCTTCGACGCTCAAGTCAGTAAAATGACCAAATGGTTATAATAAAAGATGGAGGTAATGCATAATATGCAGCGTGTGCAAATCGGTCCAAAGTCATACTTGAGACCTTTGTTTATACTAGTTGTAATGGGTTTTTACCTTTCGTCGACCTAATGACGGTCCAATCACGCCTTAATCTTCATTAGGGGATTTAATGAGCTATTACTGTTTATAATCTAACCATGCGGTCGGCCTGATAGTTAGCCCACCAGAATAGTCGGTCGAGTGATAGGTCGACCTGGATGATCAGCCTGACTGTGTTCAAGAGACCGTACGATAAGCTGGGAACCATACTGTACATAAATATTATTTTTTCCTTTCCAATTTTAAAGGAAAAAGTGTCGTACGAGAAGAACGAAAAAGAAATATGGCTATAACATTTCAAACTTTATAAAGAAATTGTCAACATATATCCATGTAAAAAAATTATCATTTAAAAAGAAGGTGAAGGAAGTTTACAAATATTTTTCGGCAAACCTTCTCAAAGGTTTATACGAAGTGTACGAGAGGATGTGGATGATTTTGTAACCGACACCAAAAAAAATCTGTTTGAAAGTTAGTTTAAAAGATAATCTAATAGATCAAACATTATAGCTTTTTTTGTATATTAAGTCAGCATAAACTAAGTCTATATAGTTTATTATTTATACGGTCTTATTACGCTACTTAGTCCCCATAGGAGGTAATTTTTTTCTGTTTGTGCACCCGACCCGTTTACAATGTAGCTTTGGGTACCTATGTTGGGGAATTTTGTATCAATTCAATCCTATCCCTTAACTGCGTTAAATTAATTCGCGAATTAAGGACGTTATGAAATGCTTCAATACATTGATAGCTATTTCACCCAGGCTATCTTAACGTCCTTATTTCTCGCATCAATTATACGCCGTTAACTGGATAGGATTGGACTGGATACCAATTTCCAAACATAGGTCCAAATGCGCTACATTTTTAAAACTGTGATCGAACAGAAATTACCCCGAACAGGGGAGACGTAGGTATTACGCCCTATTTATAATGTAGAAATTTTCAAATAATTAAAATAATTATCACTATTTGTTGGTGTACTTATAACTATAATACAGTATTGTTATTATGTTAATATACATGTCTTTAATTTCTGTTAGAGAAGTAACAGAATATTTTTTAAGATTATAACTTTCGATTCTCTCAGCCTTACTTTTAAAACACAAAAACAGTTTCTTTTTAGATAAGTATAAGATTATCAAAAATTCGTTATGTATTATTCACTCTGTTCAATAGCTAACATATGTGACATACTTATATAAAGTTTGTCAAGTGCTAATTGACTTTTAAATCAGTTTGTTTCTGTATAAAAATGTTTTCTTACTTCTATATAAAAGAGTCCTCTTATTTCTAATTAATATGAAATCTCGCCTATATTTTCTCATGCCAAAAAATATTATTTTAATGATTAAACTTAATATTTACAGGGAATTCGATATAGTTTCAGTGTAAGTAACATGATAACTTAATACAAGAATAAATATGGTATAATAATTTTTGAATGCGTTTAATATAATCTAAAAAAATGAAGTTTACTCCTAATTTAGCTTTAAAATTGAATTGTATCAGATTTAACATATCAAGTTCAATAATTAAAATTCGTTTTATTTTTTGATTAATTTTGAATTTATTTTTTTATGATCGAAACGTCTGTGTCTTAATTTTAATTTTAAATCAAAAAAACTTCTCCTTTCTCCTAGTTAACTTATTATATACCTTCGACAATGGATTTGGAATAAAAATAAATAACATGCCTAA